AAAAAAAAAGAAATATAAAAACCCATTTCACTTGCAGGCTGAACGAAAGCAGGGCACAGTCCCAATATGGCCCACAGGCCATAATTTGCTGGGCGCCGTGTTAGAAATTTCATGGCTGGTATTTCTACTGAGCTTTCAAACTGCACACTTCCAGCAACCACTGCAACTCCATGCCTCAACCTCCTTACCCCTCATTCGGGAAATATCAAGCAAAGAAAGCATGCTGATTCAAGGCAACCAAAAGAAAAACAGAGACACTGAATTCTCTCAAACTGAATAATCTAACCTGGTTATTAAGAAATAAGGGAACCTGTAGCCAGTGGAGAATGGCAGTAGCTTCTACTTTTACACTGTAAGAAAGCCTGTTTTAATACTGACTAATGAGAGGAAAAGTTAGTCTGAATTAAAGACTTTAAAATGCAATTTTATTGTTCACCAAGGAAGTATTACTGCAAAGCAGAAGGCCTAACAGGCCTGTTTTAATGAATAGATGACTCATCTGTAATCAGTGCATTAATTGTTGGGATTCAAATGGGTGCTCTTAAAGTACTGGGAAAAATAGCTTCATTTTTAAAGCAGGTTAAGCATTCCCCCTACAGCCCTTTTTAAAGTATCAATTTGCTTTGCAAACTGTTTCTTTCCAAAGACTATAGAAGTAAACTTTCATAAAACCCTGACAGATTTATCACAAATTCTATGCTATTAAATTTCAAATTAAAAAAAAAAAAAGGCACATGATTTGGATAACATTTTCAGTATTACAAAATCAACGTCATCACTTAGCCTTCCAGTCCCTAGGGCTGACACTGTACCTTTTGCCTTTCAAATTATTTCGGAACTTGTCCTCATATTGGAGTTTTGCCTCTCTTTCCCCAGTCTGAAGATTCAGCCGTACATGGGATCCTGCAGGGACAGCTTGCCCTAAAAACCAAGAAGAGAAAAGGCTCATGAGGTACAGGGTCCTTGGAAGGTCACAGGGATGGCCAACTAACAAGCGAACAGGACTTACTAGTAGTTCATGAAGATGAAACTCAGCTGTGTTCAGTTATCTCTTCAGTCTAGCCATCTCTTTCCCTGAAACACACACACCACTCACATATACTCACTTTGCTAATCTATAAGGAAATCTGTAAGGAAATGAGGTAAGATGGGCAAGAGGATACACACTTGAATCTAGAGACCAATGTCCCCCAATTAGAACCTGTATATTTAAGCTACTCTGTTTTTTTGAGCTAATAAAAGCTTTGTGTTATGTGCAGCAGGTAAGTGGCAGATACCTACTGACTCCTCAGGACATGCTACATTACTGTCTTTTCCATGACACCCTTCCTGCCCCTCCCCTAACAGGCAGTCCCACAGAACCCCAGAGCGCCTGCCATCCCAGCCAGCTTACACCTCACCACCTTCATCTATTTAATTAAGCTTCTTCTATGAGGCTCTCTCCTCCGTTAAGCACAGGAACTGTATTTCCTCCTTTTTGATTTCCCAGCCCTTAGGCCAGAGCTTGGCACATAAAATGTGTGGCACTTAATGTTATGAAAAGGAAGAAGGAAGAGACTGGAAGACAAGAGGACAGAGTAAGCCAAGGAGGCAGGGAGTGGAGCCAGGAGAAACTGAAAACCTACACCCACCTATCTATGGAGCTGATCCATAGCCCGGAAAAACAAACGTTGTGAATGGATGGGCTATTACTAAGCACCGCACAAAACTACTCAAGAATAGTTAAAAAGCAACTGTGCAGTAGCGCTTACCATAAATGGAATGCTACACCCATTCATTCATTCATTCATTCATGGAACTGCTGTAGGGATGGAGAATTTCAGGGAAAACGCTTTTCAGAAGACTGGAGATTTGAAGCAAAGATGGTGCTTCTGACACCTGAACTTGGACTCTGCTTTTTCCTGCCAGAGGACAGCATTGCCTTGCTGTTAAGTTTAAGAACCCAAATCAATGGTTTTCAGAAAAAATTCCTCCCAAGGAAGCACACAGCACAAGTTCTCTTGAATAATCAGGTAAACTCAAGAAGGATAATGATACAGGCAAGAATTCAACAATTCTGGGAGCCCCATAGAGAACTCTTGAGTTCTCTATGGCATGAACATATGTAATTAGTCACGTTAATAGTTATTTTTAGTAATAATGGTACTAATACTAGTAATAATTACAATAGTATTTTACATTTTCAAACTTTTGATCTAAGTTAGAAATGGAAAAGAATAAAGTATGTGAGTTTATAAGCTTCAGACACAATAGGTTATAGTGTGCTAAGCTTGCCAAAGAAGAGACTAGCATCTTATGTGAATCAACTTATTTTATTTGAGGAAAATTCCAAAATTACTCCCGTCATATAAGCTACAACAGGGGGCAAGAGCAACCACAATACCATTAACTCAAAATACAGGTTGTGCTCGTTTAAAATATACTAAACACATAATGGCAGCAGCAGTGGCAAAAGCAACAGGAAATGCTGTATTTCAAGTACTTCTACTCCACTGGGGAAATGTCCAAGTTAGACAGATAGCATAATCTGACCTGCATCCTTTGAGAGCCCCTGCGAAGGAAGAAAATGTACCAGAACACAGGGGAAGGGCAAATCAAAGCAAACAGAAGCCACAAGATACATACAAGTAACAAGTCAAGGGGATGGAGAGCAAGGGGACAGGCAGAAAATAATGTCTGTTTTCCCACCACTGGCTCCTTTGGAGCTGATCCCAAGGCTAAGTATCCTAGCCTGAGAAAGCCCTGTCCATATTAAGCAGAAGCCCTGTCCATATTGAGTAAGGCCAACTCATGCTTGAATTTTTACTCCCACTGGGACTGTCACTGATTTCAGTCACAGGCTAGGACCCAGATAACAACTCTTGTTTTCTGGTGTAGGGGGTAATCTGTGGTAGACTGCAACACCATCACCAATTTTCTTCCTTCCTGCTTGTCGCACTCTCTGCCACATGACTTTATAGTTCCTGTTACTGCAGCGTGTACCTTCCCACACCTTGACTTTGGATTTTGCTTATCACATGCTCTGGCCAGTGGGATGCTGGCAAATGGGCCACAAACAGATGTTTGAAATGTGCTTGCATGGCTGTCTCAATATTCTGCTATCATCATGAGAAAAGCATGCCACTGCTAGCCTTCTGGTCCAAGAGGGATGAGACACCCATGGAGAAGAAACGGTTAGGGCTTCATGTGCACACGGTTGATTGAGTGGTACTCTCCAGGTGACAGGAAATGAAAACCCAAGGAGGATTCTGTACCCCCACCTACCCCCGCCAAGCAGTCAGAGGCCACAGGCTACCAGAGTGGTGGAGGCAGTAGCTCTGGGCAAGGAAGTTTTGGCTCCCCAGAGGGGTCCAGGAGCAGGTGACAAGGGTCTTGAGCCCCCACAGTAGCTGGGGAGGACATATCTCCTACAGAAAAAGGAGATCCCAGGGGGTCTGGGCAGGGAACCAAAAGCATCTGGTATAATGCCTTAAAGGTTTAGGGTGTGTCCTAGTCCGTTAGGGGTTCTATAACTAAATAACTAAGACTGGGTAATTTATAAACAATACAAATATGTTGCCCATAGTTCTGGAGACTGTGAAGTCCAAGATCACACCAGCAGTTTCAGTGTCTGGTGAGGGCCTATGCATCATAGGAGGTGCCTTCTAAGTGTTTTCACGTGATGGAAGGGGCCAGAGGGTACCCTCAAGTCTCTTTTATAAGGGTACTAATCCTATTCATGGGGCCTCAACACCTCCTAAAGGCCCCACCTTCTAATACTATCACATTGGGTATGTGAGAACAACCTAAATGTCCATCAATTAATAAACGAATAAACAAAAGTAGTATATCCATATAATATTATTTACCATTAAAAGGAGCAAGAAATACTGATACATCCTACAGCATTGATGAACCTTGAAAACTTGAAACAAGTGAAAACCAGATATGAAAAAAGCCTATATCATATGATTCATTTTACATGAAGTGTGCAGAATGGGCAAATCCATAGAAACAGTAGCTTAGTGGCTGTCAGAGGCTGCGGGAAGGAAGGAATGAGGATTGACCACTAGTGGTTTGGAGTAAAAAAAAAAAAAAAAAAGCACAACACGGGAAAAAAAAAAAAAAAAAAAAAAAAAAAGCCCACCAAATTCCCCCTCAAAAAAAAAATCATGAGGGAAATAATTTGGGATTATACAAATCCCTTTACTTGAAAAACCACTGCATGCCTTTAGGGAATCCATCTGCAACTGTAGTAATCATCTAATGGCAATTTTCTACTTCCCTCCTTCTTTAACACATTTATTAATTGGGATTTATTTCACTGCAAGAAAAAACTGTAACTCCTCTATCTAATTATTTATATTAGTATGAACTCATGGATATTTTATTCTAAGGGTCCAACACTATTATTATTTATTTTGTTGCTCAAATTGTTTCAGCCTGAGCAATCAGAGGTGCCTTCAGCTTGGCTCTTACACTGCTTTGAAAAATCTTTTCTCCCCACCATCATTCTCTTTTTAAAAGCATTTCCTTACTTTCTGGTTCCATAAGATGTTCCAAGTTCATCTTGCATTTTCCTTTCCCCAGCCCTGGAATCAGTCACTTCTTAAGAGCCCTAGTTTTTTTGTTTTGTCTTTTGTCATTTTTTTAAATTGGATAACAGTGTTTAGAAGCCAAGATCTGGGTGCTAGGTGTGTTCATTACTACTAGGGTGTTGGTATTTCTAAGCCCTCTCAGTAGGCAGGGCAAGAAATGTGTGTGTATGTATGTAACAAAATATCTTAGACTGGGTAATTTATAAACAATAGAAATTGTAAGTACACACACAAACTTTATATATGTATACACACATACATATATACATACATTTATATATATATATATATATATATATATATATATATATATATATATATAGTGATAAGGTTTGGCTGTGTCCCCACCCAAATCTCATCTTGAATTGTAGCTCCCATAATTCCCACGTCATGGGAAACACCCGGTGGAAGGTAATTGAATCATGGGGGTGAGTCTTTCCTGTGCTGTTCTCATGATAGTGAATAAACCTAACAAGATCTGATGGTTTTATAAAGGGCAGTTCCCCTGAACACACTCTCTTGCCTGTCGCCATGTAAAGAGGTGACTGCTACGCATTCACCTTCCACCATGACTGTGAGGCCTTACCAGCCATGAGGAACTCTGAGTCCATTAAACCTCTTTCCTTTACAAATTACCCAGTCTCAGGTATGTCTTTATCAGCAGCATGAGAACTAATATTTATAGTTTAGAAAATATATATATGGTTTAGAATAATATCCAGGCCCTCCATGTAATCATCAATCGTTAATGTTTAAGGGACACTGAGTTCACTTTCTCTGATTATCTGTGCCACAAGCAACAAAAGAAGACATCAACAGATGTTCACGTATCTATACATACAGACTTCTATATACATGTACACACCTGTATGTCTTGCTATGTTACTGTGTGTGTATATATCCATACATCTATATTTCTATATTTATCTGTGTGTGTGTGTGTGTGTGTGTGTATATATATATTTAAAACTACAAGTTTATACTGATACTTCAGATTCCAATCTAACACATGGGCTCATTTGTCTTCTCACTTTACTTATTTATAACTTCTTTCTCTAACACTGAGAAACCTGGCTCTTATTACCTACAATATATTTTGTTCTAGTACACAAATAAACTAGTTTCAAAATTGTTAACCCATATCCCTGTGAGAAATACATTTATCAAACTAGTTTACAGTGTGCATGTACAGTTCTGTCTTTAGCTTTACAGTACCTGGGGTCAAGATGCTGTTTCACAAAGTCACTTGGGCTAGTTCTTCCCTGTCCACTTCATTAAGGTTATGTTATTAATCAGTAATACTTGCTTCATTTGGTAGTATTTGTACTCCATTTTATGGCTCCT